CCATCAGCCCCTCACCCAGGCTGGCCAGGCACCCCAGTTGGGACTCCCACCCTGAAGGGGGTGTGACCAGCCTGCAAACACCCATCAGCCCCTCACCCAGGCTGGCCAGGCACCCCAGTGGGACCCCCACCCTGATCTGGGACACCCTTCAGGGCAAACCAGCTGGCCCCCACCCATGCACCACGCCTCTATCCCATGTAATAAAAGGGTAATATGCAAACTGACTCTAACAGCAGAACTACTGGGAATGACTGGTCACTATGACACACACTGACCACCAGGGGTCAATCGCTCAATGCAGGGGTTGCTCCCTGGTGGTCAGTGCGCTCCAAGCCAGGCTGACGGCTGCCAGTACAGCAGTGGTGGTGAGAGCTTCTCCTGCCTCCTCAGCAGCGCTAAGGATGTCTGACTGCAGCTTAGGCCTGCTCCTCGCTGACAACTGGACATCCCGAGGGCTGCCGAGCTGCCAGAGGGATGTCTGACTGCCAGCTTGTGCCTGATCCCCCAGGGAGCGGGCCTAAGCCAGCAGGTGGACATCCTCTGTGGGGTCCCAGACTGCAAGAGGGCATAGGCCGGGCTGAGGGACCCCCCCGAGTGCACAAATTTTTGTGCACCGGGCCTCTAGTTTTATTATAAAGCTGAATACAAAAATAATTATATAGTTTTTGTAACTTTTGTTAAAAGTATTACTAATTCTTAAACATTTTGTTTTTCAGATATAAGTATTTTTAAAGCAATTTGGTAAATTATATATTTCTCTCCCTTCCTGTCCCACTGAAATTTAGCAATCCTATCTAATAAAAGAGAAACATGGTAATTAGCATACAACCGCTACCCTTCCCATTGGCTAATCAGGGCGATATGCAAATTAACCGCCAGCCAAGATGGCGGTTAACCGCCAACAAAGATGGTGGCTAATTTGCATACATAGGCGCAATGATGGGAGGCAAAAGGGGAAAGACGAAAGAATGGTGGCAGGCAAGAGCTGCCTTTGCCCGCTCCCCAGCCAGTGATCGCCATCAGAAAGCCCAGCAGGCCAGGCGACACCCCTGGCAGGGGTGCCAGTGATCGCCATGGCAATCGGAGGAAGAGAGAGCCAGGGTGTAGGACCACCGGGGCCAGGGTTGCCGACTGGCCTGTGGCCCCCTGATCTGCGATGGCGAAAGGAGGGGCGGGCCCCAGGCACAGTGGCACCCCGTCACCGGGTGCCCCTGTGCCTGCAGTCCCCTGATCTGCGATCTTGAAGGGAGAGGCGGGGCCACAGGCATGGCTGCACCCGGGGGACCAGGTGCAGCCGTGTCTGCGGCCCCGGATATGCGATCACGAAGGGAGGGGCTGGGCAGCAGGCATGGCAGAATCCTGGGCACCGGGTTCAGGCCCAGGGTGCAGCCTGCCTGTGGCCATCTGATCTGCAATCGCAAGGGAGGGGTGGGGCCACAGCCACGGCGGCACCCAGGGCATCCTGTGCAGCCGTGCCTGCAGCCCCCGATCTGCAATAAAGAAGGGAGGGGTGGGGCAGCAGGCATGGCAGCATCCTGGGCACCGGGTGCAGGCCCAGGGTGCAGCCTGCCTGCGGCCCTCTGATCTGCCAGGCGAAGGGAGGGGCGGGGCCACAGGCATGGAGGCACCCAGGGCATCCAGTGCAGCCCCTGCAGCCCCCGGATCTGCAATGGAGAAGGGAGGGGTGGGGCAGCAGGCATGGCAGCATCCTGGGCACCGGGTGCAGGCCCAGGGTGCAGCCTGCCTGCGGCCATCTGATCTGCAATCCGAAGGGAGGGGCGGGGCCACAGGCATGGCGACTCCCAGGGGACTGGGTACTGAGGTGCCTGTGGTCCCCTGATCTGAGATCAGGAAGTGAGGGGCGGGGCCACAGGCAGGGGAGATCGGGGCTGGTGGGGCGACCCCAGAGGTCAGCCAGCACTCAGCCCCCAACCGGCTCTCCCTGGGAGTCTGGATTGGAGGGCGCTCTCCCTGGGAACCCGGAAATCCACCTCCCAGGGCAACTGCGCAGAAACCAAGCCTGGTGAGCCATGGA